ATCAATCAATCAATCAATCAATCAATTCTCAGGCCATTCCAAGTGACTAGATGAAAACAGAGGCTGTTTCTGCCTCAGGAGAAGTGAGGGAGGATAGTGTACATCTTGAACATGCAACCGGCCTACTGGAAGGTGTCCCTGCCCATGGCATGGGGTGGAACAAGATGGGTTTTAAGTTCCATTCCAAGCCAAACCAGTCTGGAATTCTTTGAGTTGAGGCTATTTGAAAATAACCAGCCCAAACCAAACCCAGAATGCAGCACCTTCTGTCATTCTGCACCCTGTCGAGAGTCTTCCCATGACACCAGATCACAAACTGGCTATTGCCTTTTCCCCCTCACTGATCTGACAGCAACACTTCACTGAGATCCAAGTTGGCAGTTTCCAGCTTAGATGTCAGCATGAAGATCCTTTAAAAACACACACCTATCCAGCAGCAATCCCTGCCTCACCCTGCCCAGCTCCCACTCCTCCTATCACAGGAGAAGACCAGAGTCCTGGAGCCCAGGCAGTGCCCCATGCAGCACTGACAGAGAGGAATGCCTAAACTGGCTCCTGTGGCACTTCTCACCCCTCCCAAGGGGACTGTGTTCCCAGATTGCTCCCGTTTGTAATGAGATCCTCGTGAGGACTATCCTACAAGTCAAGACTACCCCACCCACCCCAGCCTCAGAACCACAGAATCAGTTAGGCTGGAAGGGAACAGAGTGGGTCATCTGGTCCAATCTCCCTGCCCAAGCAGGGCCAGCCCAGAGCACACTCCTTGGGTATGTGTGCAGTTAGGACAGTCTGAAGCTTCCATTTTACAGCAAAGCTTTTACAGCTTGAACTACTTAGGGCACAGTCACCAAGAGAACCACTCCACGTCGAGAACTAAGAGCCAAGCCAAGTCTCCCCCTTGTGCTGGCCAGCACTTAGGAGCTTGTGCCAAGCATCTACAAAGTACCTGGAGTGCCCAACTCTCAGAAGTGAGAAGGCCTGCTGAAACAGCCCAAATTTAGAGATCTATGAGGAAAACACAACCCCCAACCCCAGCCAGTCCAGCCCCTACTCACTGCCGCCGCGGGGTGTGGGAGCGCGAGCGTGACTTTGTCCTCGAGCGGGACCGACTGGCACTCCTGCTGCTGCGGCTCCTCTTGCTTTCTTTTCTCATCCTTCAGGGGGGAAAAGCAAACCAGAGTTACACTCCTGAGGCACTCCTGACTCCCATGAAGGAGCTTGGTAGGAGCTCACTGTACTTCAGCTGAAACCATGGAGTATTCTCCTCTTGGAGGAGTAAGTGAGACGCTTGAGGTCTGGAAACTTGAGTATTCTCCTCATGAGGAGGAGACTTGTACTTACCCATTGTAAGGGCTCTTTGAAGCTTGCTGCCTCTCCTCTGGCTCCTTCTTAATGGTTTTGGTATTCACGGACACTGGAGACTTCTCTTCAGTTTTGACTTCTCTCGGGGAAGCTAAGAATTACGTTAAAATTCAAAATTAGCTATTTTACTGTACATCCTTTGCACACCTTTATTTGCACTAAATGGGTATAAACTCCCATTTATAGTTCACTCCTGGAGTGGGATGTTTACAGGGACACATAGTCTGAAACCAGAGAGGAGGAAGAAGAGCACTGTGACCTTCACACCATGCAGTCAGGCCCACCTGGAATGTCCCTCGTCAGGGTCCCAAAGGTTTAACATAAAAGCTGCCCTTATGGCCCACAAATATAGAACTTGTTACCCTAACAGTTAATTTCCAATGCTACAGAAAGGATTAAGACCGCACAGCAAAATTACATATTAAATATCAAAGACACAGATATAATGAATAACCAAAATTTGTTTAGTTTAGCAGTCAATCTGTCTCTACAGACATGACAGCCCAGAGATGAATTCACCCTCATGGAAGGGCTAAGTCTATCAGAGCTCTTGCTGTCAAACTCTTCCAACCTCAGCTCCCACCTCACAGAATGAAGAAAACACATTGTTCAGTGAGCAATGCCCACTTGCCAGCTCAGAGGCCTCTGGAAACTCAAATTCTTCAGGAGAACTAATTGCTACCAATGCTGCTTTATGTGTTATGGAGTTCCTGCAGAGCCAGCTACAAACAAGGGCCTATGCCTTCTGCTTGACCACCATCACTGGATCAAGGCTTGGGACAGCCTTGAGATCTCTGGTAGTTCACAGATCTAAAGCAGCATCAAAAGGTAAAAGCACCAAGACCAAACTAACAGTTCTTGGTGGCACCAGAGTTCAGACAGATTGATTGGTTCAAGCTATGTTACAGCAATTTATTCCCTCTGCTGCCAGACAGGGCTGTGACTGTCTCTCCCCCGTTTCCTCCCACAAGCTGTCTGCCCTCATCACGCTGAACAGCTGCCAAGGACACGAAAAAGGCAGAGAAAGCAGTTTTCAGACATACCTGCTGCCACAGGAGCCAGGAAGGCTATTGCAACACCCGCAAATTAAGCCCAGAGTGTCCTCACACCACAGTAACAAACAACTGCTGCTTCATTACACCATTCCCTTAAGGTGTGCATCACCAATATATCCCCCCTCCCATCTGTGGAAGTGCACAGCACCCCTTTTCTTTCCAGTCTGTGATTTCAAGGTCTTCAAATAGTTTTTCAATTAAAAGAAAGCAACATTTGCCTTGCTGCTTAGTTCTCTGAGAAAGCCTAAGCTGTCTAACAGCCCAAGAAGCAAATCTTCTTTTTTTTACCACCTTGGGGCACAGATTTACTTACTTACCAAACAGATTTGTATTCAGAAAACCAACTTACATGGTTTAGATGCAGGAGAAAAGCCACCCAGTGTTGAGAGTGCAGGAGTTCCATCTGGGTTTAAACCTTTTGCCTTCAGTTTAGCTTCCTGTAGTGCCATCTTCCTCTTCTCTACTTCTTTATCCAGAAATTCATAATTGGGCTGTGAAAGGAACAATGAGTAAGAGGCTGAACTGATGTAATTCCTATTTTTTATCTCATTTCTGGAAAACACTCAATTATGTTTTCATCCTCTGCCCAGTAATGTAATTTCCACAATGCGTTCTCATCCCTCTCAGAGGAGCCTTTCCCACTAGCAGCTTTGTATGGAGGTGTTCCCAAAATCTTTGGACAACCACAACTCAGCACTGAGCATGGCGCAGGAAACACAAACACCTCAAACTTACCTTCTTTCTGGTATAAAGCTTAAGAGTTGTCAAGCAGATCTCCTGAATCTCCTCTTCTGTGGTACCAAAGAGCAGGAACCAGTGAGGACGAGTAGGCAGCGGAATCTGAAAATGAAACAAGAAAAGGCTTAATAATAGAGAAAAAACAAAGCCCAAGCATTTGCTTTTAGTATTTTCACTGATTTTCTGGAAAGTAGGTGAGTGCAGAGAGAGAACTGCTCACCTGCAGAGCTCTAGCAGCGAGGTAAATGCAAGCACAGGCAATAGTCTCGGGCTGGAAGCGAACGAACACGTTTGTCCGAAGGCTGTCATTCATGTAATTCCTGGAAAACCACAGTAGCAAAGGTTGGATCTCTAGTTTACTCCTTTTCAGAGGATAACAACACTGGAGACTCAATTGACTTTATTATTTTTTCTATTCTCCTATCAAACATTTGGTTTCTTTCACATGATTTGATGCTTACATGTGTCATTTGTGTAGCAGTTTGCACTGTCTGTAACCTCAGTGCAAGTAAACCTGTAGTAATAAGTCTGAGTAGTGTGTAATGGCTACATCCTAGGTTAAGTTGCACTGTTAAGTGTTCACAAGCTAACATCTGTCCAGCTATTTGCCTTAACCATCAAGACGTTTGGATTTAAAACTCGATGTACTTAAGGCTTAGTGCAAGTAGGAAATCACTGTATTGCCACTTTCCCTTTTCCAGAGGCTAAGTCAACCTACAAAGTCCCTAACATACTGACTGCATTTACACTTGGTGTGCCTGGAGCAACATTAACTTCAGCCACAGAGATGCATCCAATGTGCTCACTGAGTGTTGGAAAGAGGCCTGCAAGTTAGTCATGGGTCCCCAAGTGCCCCCAGCTTTGTCCTTGCACAAGGGTGGCACTACCAAGCAACACATGCCAAGAGCTACAGGAGACAGCAGAGACCTCCGTGGATTTCTAAGTTCCCAAGCTACAACAGGAGAGAGAAGAACAGCAGTCAGTCAGTATTGACTCTACCAACCCCATGCCCAGGCTGGCTGCTAACATGCTGCATGCACTGTAATCCTCTTTTTGCTTTAAAATCAAGTTTAGCCAATGTTAAACCAACTAAATCAAGGCTGGCAAAACTCTACCCCATGTGTCCCTCACACAAACTACAGCATACAATAGCTAGGCAACACAGACAGTCAGAAACAGTGGTTACAGGTACTTCTGGAAACAAAGATACAAATCCTTGGACACCCAGGCAGAACTAGGAGGTGCTGCTGGACATGGAGCACGTCAGTGACCTCGGCTGAGAGCTGCACTGGGTTGTGGCAGGAGGAGGGCAGCCATCCCCAGGTCAGGGCTGAGCTGCAGAGCTCTATGACTTACCAGCAGGGACTACCCTTTAATTAAAGAGTAGAAAAAAGAACAAAGTTAAATTGAGTTCTCCACGGCTATGCTGGAATCAAGCCATGAAAATAGTAAGCAGAAACAAGCCCCAAAGCATTGCCTGGGCAGTAACTTACATCTCAGAGCTCTGCACACCCATCTGCAGGCTTGTTATTTCTGCTACTATTTTCCTGGCTAGGAAAAGGATGGAAAAAAACAACTTACCAGGCTGTCTGTACCAGGGTCTGATTACGTTCACATTCTAAGACTTGTAAGTACATAACAATAATCTGAGGGATAAGGAGGAGGGAAAAAAAGAGAGAAAAAAAAGACTCAGTTTTAATATGTAAAGCAACAGTGAGGAAGCAACTATATAAATATATGGAGGCTCCTCCTTTTCCGAGCACACACTCCCATGTCAACCAAACCCATTCAGACAAGCCCTTATTTTACCCCTTTCCTAGGATCCCCAAACCCAGTCACCCTTAACCTCTCCCAGGGAAGCAATTCCTACCAAGGTCAACGTGACTGTTGACCCAAGTACTTTGGCAAAAACATTAGAAACAACTCCAGGAGGAATCAAGAGAAGAATCCAGGTCACTGTGACACCTGTGTTTCCCGTTCCACAGCTCCCAGTGGTGCCATCAAGGTAGAGCAATAGTTACAAGGATATTACTGTTGAGAACTTACCTTATGAGGATGCTTGACATGAACACAAAATCCCAACTCCTTCAGTACCCTCCTTTCTGCTTTGATTACTTGATTTTTGGTGTTTATGTAGTTCTGATCAAGTATCAGGGGGCTTGGAGTCCTATAGTTTGCAAGAAATAAAATCAAAACTGTTTTGCATATCCAAAAGTCAAGGCAACTCTCTTTTCCCTTCCAACCAACTAATGGCAACAGAAACCGGTTTGCAACTCCTGCAAGCAAGTTTAAGCATTAATCTTGTGCTGTCCAAGTTTAGATGAACTAGTTAGGTTGCTGCTTTTGCCTAGCTACAGATTAGATGGCTAAGATCAAAAATAACCTGCTGCTGCTGCTGCTGTGTGTGCAAACTGCTCCAGGTGCTAGAAGAAGTCAGCTTGCAGAGGGGGAAGGAGTGTGACACAACTACCTCCAGGCCTGCAAAGCAGAAATAAGCCACAACAGGGTTTGTGCTGATGTTAAAGTAGCACCTCGTGCTTTAGGAATTGCAGTTTCCTATGCAGTGGAAGAGAAGGTTGTTCAGCCTTCAGAGAAGACAGCCCTGGCTCTGTGACAGACCAACAGCTGAGTGAAGACCAGAATTTCACCTCTGGAACAGTGACAGATGTGCCTGGGACTCTGCAGCCCTCACCAGTGGATATCATGGATAGCCCTGCCGCTAGCTGCATCTGCCAAACAAGAGCTCATTCCACAAACATTTCAAACTTCAGTGCTGTCCTAATTCCTTCCAAATCGAACCCCTGAACACTCCAGAGCACTTTTAACTGAACTAACTTGATATACACTTTATGCACGAGGGTCACACTCCACTTCATGCTGTCTGTGCTTAGGCTGACGTTTTAGCATTCCATGTTGGGTATTTTAATCCACTTCCTCCAGAAGACAGACCAGCTTTCTCCCTGTAATGTGCCTCACACATTCTACTTGCTTTCCAATGCAGAACAATGATTTTGCAGCCAGTTCTGCTCCAATAAACCACAGTCTGTGTATGATACACCTAGTACACCCCAAGCACTGGCAACAAATTTATTTCACATTACCTTCACAAGGAAAAACAATGCGAAGTAGATTTAAATACGACTTCTGTTTCATCATACAAAAATATTTCACTGCTACCTTGCAAGTTTCATGAGAGGAATTCTCACTTCTCTTCCCTGAGAGGTCACAGAGCAGAAAAAACACTCAAAAGAACTCAGTTCCCACCACAGGAAGAAAGGGCCAATTTAATGCTGAGGCTAAACAAGGAGTTCGCAACTGCAATATTCCAGTTGATGCCATGACTCCTGCAGCCACCCGGAAGGGTGCTGATGGTCACTGGCAAAGGACACATCAGCCACTTCACTAGTTACAGCGTCATGCTGGATAACCACCACTTGGAGCAGCTCCCAGAGGGGCTGGAATGAACTACTGCAGCCTCCTGGTGCCAGAAAGGACCTACAACTCCAGTACTATCCTTACTGCTCCTGGTTTGCCATGTTACACACAAGGAGCATCTCTAGTTAAAGGTTCCTCTCCTCAGGGCAGGTTTACAAAGTGTCATTCCAGCTCGGTATAACCCAGGCAGAATAGGGGAGTTTTTGTTTGGATGGTTATATTGATTATAATTGACAAATTAACTGAAATCCAAGAACTTTTCAAGCTCCTTTAAGGTAATTTCTTCAGTGAGAGGCTGATTTTATCTGGACACTCCCCAGGCAGCCTGAACACAGTACTCTGGAGTAGGAGAGTGGAAGAACCAAGCTGAGTTCTTCCATCAGTGAAACTGAGTTAATTTCAACCAATGACACTGGTGTTTATAACAACATCTCCTCACATGATTTTATCTAGAGATCACTGGCATTAGCAGGATCTGTAAAGCATCATCCAGAGCAGGTTTAGATGTCCAGGCTCAGCTTATCCTGGGAGTAGAACACTTTATCAGAGGTGAGGAATCCTGGATCAGACAGTTAGGACAGCTATGACTTCCAGTCTATAAAAAAATCAAGTGGGACAACATGACTGCATGGGACCATCCAACAGCTTATCTTCCATGTGTCCCTGCAAGCTATGGAAGTCCAGTGCTGCAGGACAGGCTGTGAGCCTGACTGCATGTTAAGCTTTCACTGTCCCTCCACAGGATCAGCACAAACAATTCATACTTTGTACATGTTCAACAGCAAAGCAAGAGGAAGCTCAGCATCTGAAATGTGCTTTACTCTGTTGTCCCAGCTCAACACCCACAGTGTCTTTGCTTTACTCTGGTCACGAGTTCTAGAGATCTACCAGCCATGGGAAACATCGGTTCATCCAGACAGGATTTCCAGAAATGAAGACCAGCACAGCCCACTCAGGGAAAAATCAACACCTGCAGATTTCAGTGCTTTGCTGCACTTTATTGCTGGCGAAAGTCAGGGGCTGTTTTAAGCTTCACCACCTTAGCACTTCTGCCAGAAACTCCAAAGTGTTGGTAAACAATTACTTACAAGCTGTAAACAGATTTATTTCCCTTTGGAAAACATCTTAGCTTTCTACAAATAAAAAAGGGGAACTTTGCTACTGCATTTGCTGCACTTAATTCTCAGTCCCAAGAATTGTTTTAGGTCCAAGTAACAGACCAGAGAAAAACAGTTCATGAGCTTATATATAAAATATAAGCTTCAAGCCCTGTATGGCCAAGGCCTAGTGCAAACTCTGACTTTGGAGCTGTTCTTACAGATCAGCACTAGAGCTCCAGGCCAGACAACATCCTTAAGAACAGCACACACAGTGCCCAACACTTAAATGCAAAACTGGATTGGGATTTAGATTGTGGAACAACCCAAAAATATTAACACACATAGTAATCTGTTTGTAACAGCAAATAAATCACAAATATCCTTTTTTTAACCCTTCTGAAAAATGAGACCTAAGTTCCCAATGCAGCTGCAGCTTCGTTTGATGGAATATTGAACTGTGGTGTCTTTGGGATGACTAATAGTGTGTTGTTCATAATGAGCAAAGTACTCCTGGCAAGTACAGCAGAACATCAGCATCTCATGTCAAAGACCACAGATTAGTTATGCTGGTCAGAGAAAGAACAAGAGTTCTCTACTTGTCTCCAAGACTGTAAGTAGCACAGGTTTGTAGGAGAGTTTGGAGAGCACTAAGTGTTGTACCACCAATGCAGCCACTTCCAACCCCACTGCATGGACCTGTGTGCTGCAACACCAGTGAGAACAGCTGAGTGTCTCAGACCAACACATGTAAGGTTACAGCATGACATATTTGGTTCAGGTCTCATAAGGACTTGCTGCAGCTTTCAGGCACATTTGAGAGAAATAAAATCACTTCAAACTACATTCTACAAGTTAAACAACAGTTGCACTTTGCTCAGAACACAGATGTTTTGGCACACAGTTTTTCACAGTAGTTTCCCCACAGTTTGAGCTTTTCTCCATGCACACAAACATTTTACATGCAGTTCTACATCACATTTGCTCATCAGAGACCCAAAAAGAAAAATATGCTTGTTCAAAACACTTGGTTTTAGCTTTTTCTTACTCAGAAATACCTCCTCAGTGGACTACATGTCTCACAAAAAGAAATTCCAATGCAATTTCCAGTTCTGCAGACAAGTACATAGCAGGGACTGCTTACATCAGCATTGACAGCAATGTACAGGTTCAAGACTTCCACACCCTCGGGAATGTTTTACTGTCAATTCAAACTGCAGTTATACACAGCCACAAAGTGGAACTAAGAATCCAAAACTGGTTAAGAAAGAAAGCAAAGCCTACCCAAAACTACTCAAAAATTGGTGCGTAGGTTAAGAGCTTCAGTTAACAGACTAGAAAAGAAAAGTACAGCAGCCTGAGACTTTGAGTTCTGGGCTGTGTGTGAGACACTAACTACAGCCTAAGTGTTAGCTTCAGGTCAAAAAACAAAAATCAAACAACAACAACAACAACAACAAAAGGTTAAGCTAGTGTTCTAAAAACCTGGACAGCAAAGAAAAAAGCTTATAACAAGATACAGGAGTTCTTCCAAATGGTTCACCAGCGGCCAACCTGTTAGTCCCCCGGTTCCAGTGACCTATTCTCAGAGCACTGGCTTCTCCTTGGGGATTTTCCATACTTCACTCACTGTTGCCATGACGACAGCTTCATCTTTATGTACCACTCCACATCACCCAGGCTTTGGTAAATGTAGCTGGTCGCTGTATAGTCGGTTGCAAGGGAAAAAAGAGTTGAAGTTAATAGCGTGTACAGGTGAGGGACTTTGTCAGCTTGTAAAAAGCACAGAAAAACGTTTACATCCTGCCTGCTAAAAGAAAAACAAAGGGGGTGGCAAGTCTGAATGTCAGACTGCAGCATTTTTAAGGTGAATGTCATGCAGATTCTCTGGGAATCGCAGGGCAATACCCATCTGTCCCGACAGTAATGGGCAGCAGTGCAGCATTGCTCCCCACGGTGCAGCCTAGGCACCGTGGCACATGCACAAGCTGTGATTTGGAACAGGCTAGCTGCAAGGATTCAAATTCACAGGTTAAGTTCAGTCTCTCTGATCCTCCACACAGCACCAAAGAATCTAATCTGTGTTCTCATTGCAACGAAAAGCAAAGCAGATGATTAATTAACCTTCGCTACCTGGACAGAGGCCAAAACGTTACTAATCACTGGACCTGCTTCAAGAACTCCAACCAGATTCCCTCAGCAGGGCTGGGCAACGCAATCCCTCTGGATTCACACCCAGCACAACTCCACACAACTCCTCAGGGATAACAACTTGAAAACCAAGAAGAACAAAGCTAAGTTCCAACATGCAACACTGACTCTTTTTCCTAGTTCCTAAAAGTAACTGGGAAGACACACGGCAGTAAAAGCCAAAGCTTTAACTTCCCCAGCAGCACAGGATAAAGACACCACCAAACGGTTTCCCTAAGGGAATTCTACTCTATTTCCCAGAAAAGGTTACACAACACTTAAGGTTCAACTCCTGCTGTGACCTGGTGACACAGAGCAGAGAAATAGTGTGAATTTAACCTAGCTGGAAACAAATCCCTTTTGTAACTCAGGAGTACCTCACACATTAAGCAATCAGCCACTGAAGGCTTCAGCCTCAGGCTCTAACACAGCTGCCTGGCAGAATTAAGGGGATTTGGGGTTTAATAGCAACTCCTTGATCCTTTCAGTACACCATTAATTTGCTTTACACATGGAAACAAACACTGCACACACAAAGCAGCAGCATTAGGCACTCCCAGCCCAGGTCAGCTCACACTCCCTGCACAGGCACTCAGCACCACCAACACCACAAGTATCACTTAAATATCAGTCAAAGCTGCCTTCAGCCTCCAAGACTCACTTGCACATTCTCCCTCATTAAAGCTGCACATGCTGCAGGCCAAACCAGACCTTTTTTCCAGGTGCTTTCTAGAATGGCTTGTTCTAGAAGGTAACACTAACACCACTCAAAGTTCAGCTGCTTCTTGTGTTAACTGAAGCTCTGTTGGCACCACAACCACACACTAACAAGAGAAAAGCATTAAGGCTAGTGAACACGGTTAAAAGCCTGGAGAAAACACACACCAACCCACTAACTGGCTACTCAATACCTACAACTACCTTTCAGTGACTACAAGACATCAAAAAAAAATAAAAATCAACCAACAGACCTAAAACTACAACCATGGTCCTACAGCTAGGAGCAGCACTCATGGTTTGTTGCTATATAAGTAACAGAACAGGTCTACCAAGTGCACAACAGCAGCAGCAGTCAGGGTTGCACTGTACTGCCTACACAGCAGCCAACCAGCTCTCCCTTCTCAACCTTAGGTCGTTGAACTTAGCCTGGAAAAATACTGTGACCTGCAAACTGCAGCGCACATTAGTGGTTAAAGAGGTGCTTAGGTCCGTTTAACGAAGCTGATCTTACCTTTTGGCTCTTAACTGCCGCAAGTGGTGGAACACGTTGATCACGTCCCTTATCCTCCGAGGAGCCTCCTCGATTTTGGACGCGAGATTGATGCAGGCCATGGCAACAATCTGAAAGGAAACCCCCGGGGCTGTTATGAGAAAGCGATCGCGGCCAGTCACATCGCTAAGCGGCATAAATCACACCCCGAGGCTAAGAGACACCCCCACCCGGCCCCGGCTCACCTCGAAGCTGTGCTTGACAAAGGACTTGGAGTAGAAGAAGCGATGGAATAGCACCTGCCCCGTCGCCATGGCCACCTGTGAGGGGGGAGAAGGAGAAGCACAGTGAGTCACGAAGCTAATCAGAGAACTAAAGCATCTTCCCTACAAAGACAGGCTGAGAGAGTTGGGGCTGTTCAAACTGGAGAAGGTTGTGTGGAGACCTCAGAGCAACCTGACCAGAGCACCCTGACAGGATCTGAAGGGGCTCCAGGGAAGCTGCAGAGGGACTCTTGGGTAGGAACTGCAGTGACAGGGCAAGGAATAATGAGGATAAATTAAAACTAGGAAGAAGCTTTTTCCTGTGAGGGTGGTGAGACACTGGCATAGATTGCCCAGGGACGCTGTGGCTGCCCCAACCCTGGCAGTGTTCAAAGCCAGGTTGGATGAGGCCTTGAGCAACCTGTTCTGGTGGGTGGTATCCCCACCCAGGGCACGCGGTTGAGGCTCGACGATCTCTTAAGCTCCATTCCAACCCCTCCACACGCTCTGCCTCCCTGCCCAGGGCAGAGGGTCGGGAC